CGGCAACTTCATCGACACGTTCGAGTTCATCGTCTCCGTTCCGGAGTGCGAGGACGTTCAGGGTAAAATCGACTTCATCTATTCACCACCGGACTACCTGGCGAAGCAGATCATCTACCAGAAGCGGGAGAAAGTCTACGTTCACGAAGGCAACAAGACCGCCCTGTCGAGGACCAACTTTGAAGTGCTGTTCAACAAGTTCAACTCGTTGACGTTCAATCTGACGCACTTTCCCAAGCACGGGTCGCTCTGCAAGGTGAATCCTCGGACGTTCGAGGCGAAGGACATATCTTCGTTCACGTTGCAGTATCTGTACCTGGGGGATATTCACTACTGCCACGATGACTCGGAATCGACGGAGGATAACTTCCGGTTGTTGATTCTGTCGGATAACGAGACGGACTTCCAATTTGTCTGTGAGATTCAGGTGGAGATTACACTGCTAAATGACAACGGGCCGTATCGGGTTTTTGACAAAGTGTTTCATATTGTGAGGGACGAGACCAAGCTGCTGACGTCAGGAGATTTGAAGTACGCTGATCCGGATATTGAGACGAGAAATTTGGACATTGAGTACAGGTCGGTGACCTGTACGAATGGGGAGCTGCTGAGGAATGGAAAGTACGTGGACTTTTTTACGCAGGAAGATCTGGACAGTAGAAGGTTGTTGTTCCAGCACAATGGAACGGACCAAGGCAGGCTATCGTTCATTGTGACGGACGGGTTGTACGAAGTTCCGGGATCACTGGAGATCGAGGCTTCCGATCCGTTTCTTAAGATACGCGAAAGCAATGCATCGATCGTACAGGAAGGTAGAGCGGTGCTGTTGACGCTGAACGATCTGAACATAGACACGAACTTGAACGCTAAACCGGAGGAGATCGAGTACCGGGTGTTGAATGAACCTAGCAATGGGGTATTGAAGTTGTTCCGAAGCAGATTTAATGCTACGCAGTTACACAAACTAAGCAATGCAACTACGACGATGAACTTCACCCAAGCGGACATAGTAGGGGAGCGGTTGGTCTATTGGAATAGGGATGTGGCTTCCATGGACAAGGTTAAGTACCGGGTCACGACAAAGGGCGTATGGGCGGAAGGGGAGATCATGGTTCGGATCTACCCACCGGCTTACTGGGAGCCGCTGAGGATTCGACGCAATCAAACGTTGTTTGTTGAAGAGTCTACGAGTGTGATCATTTCCAGGGATATCTTGGAGGTAAGGCGATTGAGCTCATCCGTGATGCATTCATAATTCAAAAAATTCTTGTTACAGATTGTTCACCCCAACATCTCGCCAGGGGACATAACGTACCTAGTAACAACTCAACCCCAACACGGCTATTTGGAAATCCAATCGATCACCTCCGATGACGAGTATAATTCTAAGGTGTTCGATCAGTCCACGATCAACTCGGAGAAGATGTTTTACATCCAGGCCGGGGTGAACCAATCGTCCGATTACTTCACGTTCGATGTGACCAATGGGATTACATGGTTGCGAGACTTGATCATGCGCATCGTCATCATTCCGGAACATCTATACATTCGGACGAACGTCATCGTTGTGGAAGAAGGTTTGACTCTTGATCTCATTGGCTCGGATAAAAAACCAAGTGATGATTGTTTGAACTTTATTTCAGGAAAAAGCGTCAAAATACATCCAACCGACATGGTACCTTATTCCGAGTACTACACCGGAAAAATTCTAGAGTACAAGATCCTCGAGCATCCTCAACATGGAAGCATCAAATCCGGGAAGTCTTCCAAGGTGAACCGATTCACACAGAAACAGTTGGAGGCCGAGGTGATCACCTACGTTCACAATGGAAGTGAGAATTCTACGGACACCATCCGATTGGTAGCTCTAGGACGGAACAAGGAAAGCGTTCCCTTCAATCTACAGATTCAGATTCTGCCGATCAACGACGAAGTTCCACAGGTGGTGACCAATACTGGGATGCACATGTGGATCGGTGGAAAGAGTATGATCCAGAGTTCGGATCTTAGTAAGTGTGTTAAACTTCTCTTCTGGTGATCGTCTTATTGATCGTGACTTTTTTTTCAGTGGTTCAAGACTATGATACTTCCCCGGAGAATCTCACTTTCCACATCCAGCAGATGATTGGAGGCTACGTGGCTTTGAAGGACGCCTACAGCAAAAAGCTTCATACCTTCACCCAGCAGGATATCAACCACAATTTGGTGTACTTCATCCATGACAGTAGCAATCAGAATGGAAAGATCGCTTTCTATGTAAGTGATGGACTTCACAATACTACGGAGCAAGTGCTGCACATCGTTACCAATCCCGTTGCATTGGAGCTTGTGAAAAATGAAATTCTACATGTATTTCCTCTGACTAGAAAGCAGATCCTTCCGGAGCAACTGTTCTACAAGTGTTCCGATGATGATCGAGACGTGAAATACGTCGTGACCATTCCTCCTCAGACGGGAAAACTGATCTTCGAACACGTAGAGTATGGTTACATGAATGAAATCACTGAATTTACGCAGCATGATGTGGAGAACGGTAGAATCTTCTACGAGCATACCCATCACATGGTGGAGCTGAAAACGAACGATTCATTCTACTTCGACGTGACAGCCCCATTGTCGAACAGTCTTGTGGATCAGATCTTCAACATTGACGTGTCTGTTTCGTCTGGGGGTTTGTTGAGGTTCCTTCCGGTTCCTCGAATCAACCTGGATGAAGGTGATTCCGGTACAATCAAATTGGATTTATCCAAAGTGCTGGAGTACCTGGAAACTCGAGCTGGCATTCAGAACCCAGAGCTGTTCATTGATGTTCACCCTCCGGCTCACGGAACTGTTGAGCTGGAAGATTCGAATACGAGTGCCAATCGATTTTCGTTGAACGATTTCTACGAGAATAAGGTATTCTACAAGCATGATCACTCGGACACGCTGGAAGACAAGATCGCGCTGGCCGTTTACTTGGTACCGGGGAATTTGTTTCTGTGCAACATCACCATTCCGGTGACGATCAATCCCGTCAACGATCAACCCTTCCAGCTGGTGACGGCCTCTCCCCATATCTCGGTGATCGAAGGCGAGAATCAGACGATCACTTCATCCCACCTACTCACGGAGGACGCGGATACGGATCCCAAGGATATCATCTACGACGTTATCAGTGGACCTAACTTGGGAGTTTTGCTTAAGATTTCCGATGAGGGTTACCCTCAGGACATTATAACCTACGGAAATCAGTTCACTCAGGCAGATATCAACGAAAATCGGATCATCTACACGCACTCGGGTAATCCACAGTCAACGACGTTCTACTTCAAGGTGTCCGACGGAAAGTTCAAGCCAGCTTACGAAATTTTTAACATCAAGGTTCTCCCGATTACGATCCTACCCGGATTCAACAGTCAATCGATCATGGTTCAACAAGGTACCAATCTTGGCGTGTTGGAACCAAAGCATGTATCGGTTGAGACAAATGTCCAGAAGAGTCGAATTGTTTACAATGTGACCAAGAATCCGATGGGAGGGATCATCATCTCCAACAACAAGCCTGTTTTGAAATTTACGCAGCGTCAACTGGACGACGGGAAGATCAATTACATGCAGACGGACATGACACGATCCAATGACAGTTTTCAATTGGACGCATTCATCCCGGACACAACTTCCGCTTGCATTATCGAAGTCAACGTGATCGTGCAACCGTTCATCATAATCAATCCGATCACGATCACCCCTGGGGAACGAATAAGGTTGAGTTCAACGTTTATCTTTGATAACCCTGCCCAGTTGAAACTCAATCGGTATAATCCGAAGATCACGATTACTCGCAGGCCGAAGTATGGCCGCTTGCGGAAGATCGTCCGCAGCTCGGGACTTGACTACATTGAGCAACCTAGCGATAAAGACATTATCACATTCACCTACAAGGAACTGAAAAGTGGTGTGATCTACTACGTGGCTCGAAAGTTCAACCAGGACTTCCAATCCATCAACGATAACTTCGAGTACGTACTGTCAACCAAGACTGCCCAGCCCGGTCAGGGCACCGTTCCAATTGAAATCTACTCTCCGTCCCGGGGCTCTCACGGTAGCAACGACGTAGATATTGTAACGGCTGACAGTGGCCTTCCACTAGAGTACTTGATTGCTGCCTGCGCTGCTGCCGCGATCATCGTCATTCTCCTCATGACAATCATCCTACTCAAGTGCCGATCGAACAGTTCCCACAAAGACCACCCGGATAAGGATCATCCTCCATCCCTTCCACGACCTCCGGACTTTATGACCCTAAACAATCGGATGTACACTCCGTCCGAGAACGAGTCTCTTCCGGTGACGACGGCCTCAACTCCCCTCCCCATCATCAGCAGTATTCCACACTGCAAAGTCATCCCCATCGGTTTGGACAACTCACTGCAGTTGGACTCTGAAACCGAAGAGGACATGATGGACATGCATGGGGATCTGCTTCAGAACCCCAACAACTTAAACTACCCGTACGGGGATGAGGGTGACGAATGGAGTTCCAGCTGTGAGGTAGGCCCGGATGTAAACTACTCAACCATCGCCCAATCGCACCATCAGCAGCAAGCTCAACAGCAGCAACAACTTTTGCCACATCAGCTGTCAACGCTTCAACAACCGAAAGCAAACCCTTTGCTCCGAAGGAATCAGTATTGGGTGTGAGGGTCCAGGGAATTTCCCATTACTCCTAGTTACTTAAAGGAATACGAGCTTTTGTACAGGTTCCGTGTGATGTAGTACTTGATTTTTATATGTCTTAAACCTACTTAGTCTATCGTTTCATAAATTTACTTAAATCCAATGCTCTTACTTTGATCATTTTTTTTTTCTGATTAAGATTCACTTGTTGCTTAGATAATCAATATTTACAGGCTTGATACAACTACGGATCGATTCGAATTGCCATGCAATTTTACGTGTATTGCCAATAATAGACTAAAGAAGGTAATCAAATACCACAAAGTTAGTGCCATGTGTGCGAATGATGTAGACGAATAAATGGGTGAGAAGGTTTGTCCTAAATAATATCTAATTCGAGTTGAGTTTGTTTTAATACTTCTTTCCATCTGGACAATAAATACGTTTGTAAGGAACGATCTCGTCTCTCTGTGTATTAAGTAAGTGGTCCGAAATGTTTCAATTTGGGAACGGAAGCTGCCGCCGCTGGTTCATCTTAGCTTCCACGTACTCGTAGGTATTTTCCGTGGGAGTGATGGCCAGTCCCCCGTTGTCGTAGGCATGGTTCATCCGCCAGTCTTCGGCCGGGTAGCGTGCACTAATGGGCGTGGTGACAGTTTGAACCGAAGAAGCTCCATCGGAGCCCATGTAGGTGCTGGGAGGGCCAATTGTGGACACCTGCGGCAACGGTGGCAGGCCTGTGCTGTTGCTTCCGGCTCGGGTGCTTAGTTTTGGACTCTTGGTATGCGGGTTTTCGTGGGTGTATTCCATCGTGGGTGGGTTGGATTTTTCACGTGCTATGAGACGCTTCAGAAAGGACCACGAGAAATGGCTGCTTTTGCGGCACCACCGAACGATGATTACCACCACCGTCAGGGCTAGCAGAAGGAGAATGATGGCAAATATAATGATCGTGGTGTAGAGGTTGTTCTCCAGGGTTGCGATCCTCTGCAGGATGAGGTAATCTGAAATGGGAATTGGAGTACATAGTGATTCATTAGAATGTCTGATGTGTAACTGGGGGAAGTTTGCAATTGCTTGAAGAAAGTCTTAACAGTACATTATGCTCAGATTGTGAAGTACGATAACTTAAAAAAGTGCCAAAGTTACATTGAAAGTTTTATCAAGGTTTTAACGCAGTCTTCAACTCTAAATCATTGTCTACAGAGCCCCCATAAAACCCATGAGTCTCGATGACGGTAGCTAGCTTGATGGCTGGAAACGGTGATGAAGACTCGGTGAGAGCGTCTGGCGACGCCGGTCGGTGAGCACAATGACGGACTTTGGCGAACAAATGTTGGCTCCACCGAGTGTTTTTGGTTCCAGGCCTGGATATGGCGGACTTGGATTTTACGGGTGTGTGGAGAACTGCTCGGTACAATTTGGGGTGGAACTCGAATCCTAATCTTCAAGCTTCCAACCCTTTGGTCGGGAAACTACGACCGGTATAGCGCAACCACGCGGGATAATTAAACAATCACTCCAAAACGAAGAGACGGTCTTAGGCCAGATTGTGACATGTGGCCACTTCAATCCCTATTCCATACCTGATTCTCTCTCCCTGATACTACAACACTCTTACTTTACTTCACTTTACTTTTAACGGTTTCAGCTTATATTACTGCTCTCGTTTAAGTTTACTTGGCCAGTGGCGGATGAGGTTTCTGTGCTACTCGCCGTTCCCTTTCCCTGTACTTATCGTACTTATTCTCCTGTTTTCCACTGAACTCAACTTGTTGGCTCATCACCTATTCCAGCAGTTGGTAGTGTACTGTGGTATTGTATAGTGTTAAACTAGGAGTATCTTTATAGCAATTATAAATTGAATTTAAACGGAGACATGCAAAATTCGATAAACTAACATAAATACAACAACAGATGTTACAAACGGTAACAAGGTAACAATTTGATGCTTAACAAGTGTTGTACAATCGATTTTAATTCAGCCTTAGTTTGAATAATTGTTGTACATAGACCACGTTAATGTTTGTACACCTTTTAAACATCTAAATCTGGTGATTTAAATCAGCCAAAAGCTTAACAGTTACATAAATTATAAGCTTTTTAAAGCATTTTATAACAGTCTTCTCCACCTCTTGTTCAGCATTCGAGTTTCATTTAGAAAATAATAATAATAGAAGACCGCTTAATATCTTATATATTTAAATGGGACTACAAGGTGCTGAATAATTGGATTTACATATTTATTTGTTATTATAAGTCTAAAAATTATCTCTGCATTTCGGAATTCGAACCGACAGTCGCTAATTCACAGGCATCAACCATAACTACTGGACCACTTAAGCATATGTGTGGCAAAAGGTATGATCATTAACTTGAAACACGTCAAATTTAAGTTGAATTACAGCTTCCGGAAGAGTATCAAACAGCAATGCAGAATTGGAAACAACAACTGGTGATAGCAAAACATTTCTATCACTATCAAGCGTAGTTAACACAATGTGGACACAAGTGCACGATTGATTTCGATGGTCATGTGGAAGCTATTTTAGTGCCATAATTGAGTTATATTTTTGGAATTCTATCTGAAATTTCAGCTCATAATAGCAGTCAAAACACAAAAATACAAATGTTGATACTTCTGACGTCATCGCAGCTCACTTATACCTGAAGCTATTCCTAAAAAGCTCCTCTACCTTGTCTCTACTGCCGCCGTTGCTTGGGATTAGAAAGGTAGGCAGTAAATTTAGAAGAACTAAAACGCCGGAAATGCAACGAGTGACACTAATTACATTTAACAAATCAGGCTATCAGAATATTTGTAGTGAATTGCTGATTTGTGGAGCAGTTTTACGCTAAAATAAGGCTTGTTCAATTTTTAGATCAGCTAATTTATTGAGGTTGAATTATGGGGACACAATTAGCTGCATGCACTGCTAATCAACTATATATTCAGTCTGCTGTTAATCAGCTTTGTACACCTTGAATCAACCAATAATCAGCATCTGGTCTTACTGTTCACCTTGAATTGTTACTTGGGAGTTTCGAGAAACTCAGTGAAGATCAGAGAACTTCAAGGCAGTTATAGGGTTGCTTCCACTCACTTGATATAAAAATTGTAGATGTTTTAATGGTATTTTTAACTTGTAAGTTACAAATAGGTTTATGTATTTGAATCAGGTTTTTGTCAATTTATTTACCCGTAATGATTCGTGAGGGTTCATTCATTATAAAATCGCTGATTATGACTCTCTTAAAGAGCGGTTCCATACTAATTCGCTAATCCATCGCAATATTTAATCAAGCCTTATTTTTGGAAAGGGCCTATACTGCCTATAATCGCATATCTGTCCCATATGGATTTTCGTCAATTTCGAGATAACAATGCTACCCCAGCAGGCCTGGGTTCAATCCCAGTCGGCGCCGCCGGGATGTTCTGAGGCATAACATCTCTGATCACGCCTTCCTTCGGATGGGAAGTAAAGCCGTTGGTCCCCGGTTCATGAGTTGATGGGTCGATAGGTAGGGTCCAGGTGTGGGAGCTGCCTTCCTGGCACGTCGGTAGCATTGGTGCTCAGCACGGAAAACAAGATCGACGGAAAAAACAAACCAAAGGAAAAAAAAAAAAAAAAAAAAAGAGATAACAATGCTCCACTATCAAATGGCATCTACTTTCATATTACGTGACATAACTTCGAACTTTGATCATGAAACATGTGAAAATAACATCAAGTCAGTTTGTCCCATCAAGTCAAATAATCGCATATCAGCCCCATCCTAAAATTCAATCGTTCATAGTTCAAGTTAAAGTTCTGCTTTTTAAATTGCCATATTTTTCGCTGATATGACAAAACATACAAGCTTCATTGCAACTGATTTTATCTTGAATATATTATCAACAAATTTAATATGATTTTTCAAATATTTACATGGAAATTGCACGTCATAACTTCGACGGTCATTTTCTCAATGCCTACTTTTCCATATGGGGCTGATTTGCGATTATAGGCAGAGTAGAAGACATTAAGCTTATGTTCGGAAAACTGTTATTCGAAAATGGTTTGTCCGATCGGTTTGGTTCCTTGAGCAATGTTATAGGTAATGGTTGGAACTATTTAAAAAAAATATGTACACTCTAAAAAAAATTGTGCCATATACAAACAAAACCATAATTTTTTTTTCCTAAAAAACTGATAGGGTAGAGAACTACTTCGGCCTAAGCGCCCATTTTGGGCCGATCAAGCAGAAAACATCAAATAAATCCATGATTTCGGCGTCAACAGGTAAATTATGCGTTTGGTACGATACTTTAGTTCAAATGCTACCGAACGAAGTCAATAAGAACGCGTGATATGAAGGTTTGCATCCAATATTCTCAAATACAAATGTAGTGCTCCGACCGAAAAAAATCTTTATCTTCATCCGATAGGCCGAAGTGGATTCATAGGCGATTCAATGCGTTAGGCCGAATTTAGAATCCGTAAACCGAGTTTGTCGTCAAGAAGCAGTGTTAGACTTTTAACATTATCTCAACAATTTGTTTCTCTTTATCAAATCTTATGGTACGTACGGAAAGGTAAATAAATTTGAAAGCCATTAGTAATCATAACATTCCGTTTGGTGCTAAACTACGCAAGATTAAGAAATAATAATTGCGGGTTGTATTTAACAGGCTGAAAATGGGATAGTTAGCATTATTCCAAATTTGAATTTTTTTATATTTTTTTGGGGATAAAAAATACCATCTTTTGCATTATAGGTCATAGTAAAAAAAAATGATACACAAAAAAGTTACGGTTTTTTAAAAATCTTACATTTTTCAAAAATATGAAAAATGACATTTTTTTCTTTCGATTTGATATAATGACAAGTATTGTAAATTAACAGTAAAAAAGCTTCTGTATAAATTATTTATAAGTTGCACCGCTTTCGAGATTTATTTATTTATTTATTTACGATCACCGCCTTCGACTAAGTCGCACAGACTGAACTACTTAATACTATTTTCTAGACTTAATTCCTAATCCTATGTGAAAATACAGTTTTGGACATGTTAAAATCGAATTTGTCGTCAACTTCATTAAAAGCCCGGAGACACGAATCAAGTCGATTGTGATGTCTATAGTTCGTCCTGTGGTACGGAATTGCCAGTAGAGGTGAACTTCGGAAGCGACGTGGAGGAATGTTGATCGGTATCTGCTCAAGAAGTGCAGGACAGTCAATACCTCTTGTGATGACATCAAACACGAACATACGCTGCATTTTAATTCGCCTCGATGACAGACTTTTTAAGATAACACTAAGATAAAACTTTGAATTTTTTTTTAATGTTGACAATATTTGGCATTATTAAAATGTGGTCCGCGACTACAAGAATATTTTTTTTTCAAAGATCAATTTTTTTTAATGGTATGATCAAAACAATCCGACCCATGTGTATATTTCTTTTTTTTTGTTTTTGTTTATTAATTTATTTGATAAGGCTCAACCGAATTAACTTTACAGAGCCGAGGATTCTTGTTCACTATACAATACATCTTAAAAATATAGTCAAAAGGTACAATACAATAAACACTTTATCTTCCGCTATCCAAAAAGCCTCCTCCATCAGAACTGGAGCCGCTTCCAGTAGTTTCATTGTATGGCAAATTGTTGTATGCCAACGAGGGTCAGAGCGCGTCCATTGCAGCAATGGACACAAAACGTGGCCAGCACTCACACACAAATCACGAAACGGTTGCTTTCCAAAGTCGACGACGCATCGACCGAAAGAACTGCTGATGAAGAACAATGAGGAGGACCACACAATGATTGCTGTCGAGAAAACAGACGATCGCGTAGCACACATCGAGAGTGGCCTGCTTTTGTCGACAGCCGAGTGAACACTGTGTGTATATTTCTAAACAATGGGATTTAATTTTATTCAAATTCTTTTTTCGATGGATAATATATACAAAAAAAAAATTATTGGGATCTTTTGAAAATTAATTGATTTAGCTGTTAT